CCCCCCCCTCTCTTTACAAGCCGTGTGTGGATGGACCCGGCTTTGCAAGCACGGCGGGAATTCTTCTAGGAGGCAGACGGGCTAGTGGCATAGGACACCCTTAATGGTAAGAGAACGCACTTGCCCAAGGAACAGAGGTGTTCCGTAGGATCAGTGCCTAAGTTTGTTTTGGGTTTTTTTGGCCGGTCCTAGGAGGCAGTGGAGGAGGGAAACTCATGCCTCTGATGGCCCAGCTCCGGTCTAGGGGCGCTTGAATGAACTGGATTCCCAGCTTCTCGATCCCCGCCGGTTCTCAGGCCCTAGCGCCGGCTGCGTGCAAGCTGTCGGGGCTGTGCAGGGCTGAGCTGAGCGCTCCAGCTGCGGTCTCCCCCTCGCTGCGAGGCGGTAGCACCAGCGCGCTTCCACCCCCCGCGGCCGGCAGTGATGCGCTCCAAGTGCCCCCCCTCCCCAGACCCCCTCCATGCGACTCAAATGCCAACTCCCAGAGACAGGCGGTGCGGCTGAGGGGGTGGCGAGGTGTCAGCTCAGCCCCGGGCCCAGATGCGGGGAGACGTGTGAATTTCACTTATCACCTCCTGCTAGCTTCTCAATAAAGAGCCGTACTGCCGAGATGCGACGGGAGCTCCCCACGCTCGCCTCGGTCTCTGCACCGTCCCAGCTCGCAGCAGCGCTCCTCTTAACCCGGGGGTTTTGCCCCCCCCGGATTTGAGGCAATTCCCCCTTCCCACTACTTCATCCCCCCCCCTCCCCCATTGCATCTTCGGTTTCCCTTAGGAAATGCAGGCGATAATAGGATTAACTAAGCCCCCGCTGCAAACACAATGAGCCAAACCCCATAGCACTAGCAGCCTCCCCTACCGCCCTAACGCAATCAGACTGGGCATTTGCATCCTTCGCGGCGGCCCCTGCCACTGTGCACGTGCAAAAAAACCCAACAGAAAAACAACCAGTCCCCTCAAAATCCCACCTACCCCATCAGCGTCCTCGAAGGGAAGAGAGCAGCTGCCCCCAAGGGCCCGACTTGACCTTACTTTCCCGGTAGAAAATAAGATCACGGGGTAGAGTGGCTCCAAAGAGGAGTTTTCGTTGTGGCCGGAGGTGGCAACGCATCCTAAAGCCTCTCCCCATCGCTGTCCTTTCAGAGTGGCATCCCATTTCTCTTTTTTCCGTTTTCTTTTTTTTTTTTTTGATTGATCCTTTGGCAGTGATAGTGCTGTTTTTCATATTCAATCGGCAAGGATCTAGTGAGATTCCCCCGGTCTGGGCCTTGCTCTGGGGTGGTGGGATTTAAAGGGGGAAAAAAAAGAAAACAAACTTGATTTTTGTTAAGAGCTGGAGCCAATGCGGACTTTTTTTTTCTCTTCGCTACTGCCCTCCGCAACCCTGCCCGAGCTCCCCGCTCCCCGGCGGACAGGTATGGGAGCGGGGAGCTTGCAAGGTATGGGAGCGGGGAGCTTTCCCCTTGCAAAGCTCTTTACCCCGCGTTAGGGAGCACGATCCCGCTGCAGGCCCTGGAAAGTCTTCCCCCCCCCCCCCTTTTTTTTTTTTTTTTTTTGCACGGAAAGGAGCTTAGTACTTGTGAAAAGTCCTCACGCTGTTTAATAGACACATAAGTGCCTGGCTGGCCCCAATTAACACCTTGAGCTGATCAGGCATTCCTAAAACGGGGTGCCAGACACCAAATTGTGAATACATGTATCTAATTAATCTGCCTCGCCTGACACTGATAAACAAGTTATATTTATAATGAAGGCAGCGGGGCGGCGGCTGCTGCTGCTGCAGTGGGGCTGGGGGCAAAGGACCCGTGGCTTCAGCCCCAGGGCAATCGCATGCGAGACTTGAAGCTGCTCGGGGGTGAGGAGAAACAGACCCTCCCGGAGGGATCAAGTGAAAGGATCCAAGGCCCCCCGTAAAGCCCGGCAGTGCCCCGCACGGGGAACACCCCTTGGGCTTTCGTTTCGGCGGCGCCGGGCTGAGCCGCGGCGGCTCGGGTGGGGCCGGCCTCGGTTACTCCGATCGGGGCTCGCACTTAAATCCCGGGGTTTTCGGGACGCACGTTTCAGCTGGGGAAGTGCCCTGATCGGTGCTCAGGGAAAGGCAGATGCTGTGCGAGCGCGTGTGTACACGTGCCCGCTTAGCCGGCGCCTGACGGAAGCAGGACCCGGGCGCAGCTCCGAGCACCAGCTCGCAGAGGCCCCCACACCCCATCTCGCCGGATCGTGCGTGGGCCGGGGCAGGCGGGAGGTGGGTTTTTCTTTTGTTTGTTTGTTTGTTTGTTTGTTTGCAAGGAAACGAAGCGCCGCCTCCTCCCGACGCCGGCGGCGGGGCTAGCAACCCTCAGAGGGCTGTGGGGCTGGACGCTCGGTGGCAGGAGCAAAAGGGCGGGGCTTTGGCTCCCGAGGCCCCGCCCCGCGCCCCCTCGCGGCCGCGCCCTCGGAGGCGGGCGGGAGTGAGTGAGCGGGCGGTGAGGGGGGCTGCTGAAGGCAGAGCCTGCCCCTGCTGCTCTGTGCGGGGCCTGACACCCCCCCCCTTGGGAGAGAGCCCCCCTCAGGACAGCAGTGCTCCTTCTCTTGACAACAGCATTCCTCCTTCTGCTGACTCCCCTGCCCCCCCCCCCAGGAGCAAATATCCATAGGCCTGTTAATGATATTAGCCTGCTGGCTAATGGAAAGGGGTAACCTAATCCTGCTTGGGAAAGGTGGGGTTCGCAAATACCTAATCCAGAGGAGAATACCATTAGCCTGAGAGCATGGAGCGCAAAAATATGATTTAAATAAACTGATCGGGTGGTATGGGATATTTCCTTGAGGGAGTACTAGACTCTGAGCTGTCACAACCGATTGTGTAAATAGGCTAGACTGAGGGATGTGATCCTAATCATATTGATGAAACATTCATCTGAAAGACCGAGCGCAACCAGAAGAGACTCGCGAAGAATACAATTAAATCCGAATCTGAAGGGGAGAAATCCTCCAAAGATCGCCTGGCAATAGGAAGATACAGAAACGGAGAAGAAGGCAAAGCAGAGGGAAGTAGATTGCCTGCCTGCAGTCATGGGAATCTGATCCTGGAGGAGCTGCCTCCTTGAAGCTAACGGAGGATCCCACTAGGTGACCTGCAGGAAGGGAGGCATGTTTCTGGGCCAAGCCTGCAATTGCTTAGATCTCTGCCGAATTTTACTCATTTGATGTCAGTGAAATTAAGCAGGTGCATAAGGTCCTATATGACCAGAGGGAAAGCCCCTTGCTGACCCTGAATTTGACAGTCCATTTAATTCTATGCACTGGGCAAGAATTGCCTTAGTTAATCATCTAATGCTATTTAGAGTCCATCTGCTATAGGAAGATGACTTCTTGCTGATAACAGTCACCAACAATAGGTTTGCTCTATTCTTTTCAAATAGGCTTTTATCTGGTGCTCATTATGACAGTATCTGATGGACTTCCAATAGCACTTTAAGCTACATGACTAGTCTTTGCTAGCAGAGAGAGGTAGTTAGCTGTGCCAGGCTGAAGTCACACAGAAGGCAGGGTAGATTGCACCTTTAGGGTATACGCAGAAGTTGCTTTTTTCACCATTTAAAGCACTTTATTGCTGTGATGTAACAGAAGTGCATGGCTTTACAGCACTTTAAAAATGGGTACAGCGCTTTAAACTAACCCTTGTTAAATGAGGTATTAAATTTGAAGCGCTGCATTTTATAGATCTTTAGCAACCTACAGCATTTTCAATAACTTCTATACACTGGTCACATTTCTGGCGATTCTGCTAGTATCCGATGGGCTTTGCAAGCTTGGTTAGTGCTCCCCCACACCATCAGCCTGGGCAAGAGCTGTTGCCTGGCCCCATGGCAGACACCTTGCCTGTTCCTAGTGAAGGGGGTGGGAGGGTTAAAGGAACATACTGTGGGTGGGGGACACACATGCATGCACCCACCCACACACCACTCCCCCACAAGTCCCTCTGTGGGTGGGTACCAGAGGCTTGGAGCAGGGCCAGGTGAGAGCTGGACATGGGGAAATTCTGTGGGGGACCCTGCTTGGAGCTGGGCTGTCAGCCTGAGTGAAACCTGCTGCCTATGGCAGAAGCGGTGTCTGCTGGGGGGGCGGGGGTTGGATGAATGCTTCTCATCCCAGATCCACTTTCTCCATTGGTCTGCTCATGTCAGTAGTCTCCTGAATCCTGCAGCCGAGCCTAGGAAGTGCAGAGAGGCTCAAAGCCCCGCTCCCAACACTGCACTTCTATCATGTTTAAGAGTGGTGTAACTTTATAGTACTATAAAAAATGCTCTGAATTACAGTGCTGTAAAATGTGCACAGAGCACTTCCATACACACCCTTATAGACTAACTAGCATAAGCTTTTATAAGCAGAGGCTTACTTCATCAGATGTAGTGAAGGGATTGCAGGAAACAGAGCTGCTGAATCCGAAGCAGTGATTAGAATGCAAAGGGTAGGGAAGGGTGGAAGGAGAAAGGAGGAGGTGCTGTTTAGAGAGGCAGGTGGGTAGGAGAGAGAAAAAACAAAGCAGTTA